GGCGGCCCGGGGCCACCTGCCCACCCGCCTGCCCACTTGGCCGGAGAGGCCAGCTGTGGCGCTGGTGGGAAGTCCGCAAGCACTCAGCAGTTCAAGGACTCACGCTTTCTCCGTCCTGGCACCACAGCTTTATTTCTGCTCCCCGCGCTGGAAAGTTAAAGAACTGGGAGAAAGTGTGAGACTCAGCCGCCGACTTTCCCATCACGCAGCGCCCCCACCACACCCCCCTTCCTTTGGCTGGGAGAGCGTTGGGGTCTTAAAGGGACCGCACATGTCCTCCAGCCCCTCCTCCCCTCTGCACTGGATGCACCTAGGATCTCTTCAGCACTGGAACATGCCCTGAAGGCCTTGGCTACTATCCCACACCACTGCCTGGAAGCCCTGAGCCTTCTCTCCTGTGGCACAGTGACCTTTCCTGGTGTGCCTGCTCCGGTCCTGAGCTGGTGTGTAGTATGCAAGTTGAACTGGCTGGGGAAAATACTTCCTAGCATTCCACTTATCATTTGGGACATTTCCCATGATCCTCATTGTGGCAGAGGAGACAGGTTTGTTGTCCTTAAAGATGGGTTTGTGGAGATGGGGGGAGGGGTTGATATCTACTTTCTGCCACAAAAAGAGATCCAACTAAATGTCTTGAAGAAACTTGGAGTAGCCCACCACAGCCAACCACTGCTTTAGCAGATTCCAAATTGGCCCAAGAGCCAAACCTTAAAGTCACAGTGGCACTGCTAATGCCTTGGTGAGCCTGAGACAAACTATTACAAATTTGTGTTTATTGGATGACTTATAGTTTTGTAAATTTTATCATAATCCTGTCAGGCCCATGAAAACACTGCCTTGACCAAACCCATTTATATTTTAGGCCTCCAAATTGAGAGAGCTCCTGAAATTTTTCTACATGAACTAGATAATATCATCTTCTGCGTAACACTTTATGATTTATAGCATATTTTCATATGCAGTACAACAATATTATTTTTTAAACCCTCACAACAAACTGAACTATCAGTGACTTCAAGTTTAAGTTGCTGGAGACTTTATGAACCATTTAACTTTAACCTTTTTATTTCACAGATCAGGAAACTGACGTAAAGGGTGTTTGATGCTTCAAAGGTCACAAAGCTAGCCAATAACAAATTTGAGATTCCAATTCAGATTTTCTGACTTTCAACTCACTATTCTCTGATTTTTATTTCCAGTCTGTAGATGAAGAAATTTATACTTGGGGAAATTATGACTTGTCAACAATTTTCACATCAGGAGCAGAGAACAAAGGAAAATTAAAACACAAATAATTGTCCTTTTCTCTTTCCTTAGAAGTGTTAGTATCCAACTAGCCTTTGTATTGCTGGAGATGTTTGTTTCACTGTTAAAGAAAGAAAAGTGGCTCTTTCTGAAATGTTGCCTTCAGGGCCCAAAATGTCTAGCTCAATCCTGCTAATTGGGTAGCCATAAGTTGCCACATGCATTTAATTTGTGCCGTAGTACATATATTTGTTTGGACTTGTTAATTGGTTACCCTATAGCTGTTATTCCATTTACTATGCTGATGTTTTGTCTCACTAAACTGTGAATTCTCCAAGAGCAAGAACAGGTTGTTAAATTTGTTTGGTGTCTGCATTCCCCTCCTGGTCATCACTTCCAAAGTGTCTACAGAGTATTCAGCAAAAGTGGATTTCAAAAAAATAGCCTGGGACAAACATGGATCCTAGTGCTTACAATCAATAGAACTATAGGAAAGAGGGTAAGGCAAGGATGGGTGAGAGGAAATAAAAATGATCAAGATTTGATATGTATACATACTAATTCTCCAAAATGAATGTAATTATTATGTAATCACAAACATGTATTACTAATAAAAATAATAAATTAAGTAGACTCACTGGTGTTTAGAACATGTATTTTGTTACAAACACTCACTCATTGATTGATGCAGTATTAAAATATTGCATAATAAGACATCCCAATACTTAGTGGCTTAACACAAATTATTTTTGGCTTTTGGTACTACTGGGTTAGTTAAATTGAACTTGTTCAGGATCTTTTACAAATTTACAAGCAACCATATATAAGGCCACTGGAATTCTCTGAAAAGTTGTTCATTATTGTAAATGTTGTAGTTTTTTTATATTAGTTCCTGTCTTGATTTATGAATTGGAACTCCAATTTGGATGAGTTCTTACTTAGACTTCCCATCAGATTTTACATAAACTAAACTGATGATTATCTCCATGTCTTTTTTTTCTATACTTATTAGATGAGGATGTGAACATAAGCTCATTCTGATTTTTTAAAAGTTTTGTTTTGTTTTGTGTTTTGGTACCAGAGATCGAACTCAGGACCTTGTGCTTGCAAAGCAGGTGGAGGAAGCACTGAGCTAAATCCCTGACCCAAAAGTTTTTATTTTGAAATAATTGTAGATTCACATGCAGCTTTGAGGCATAATTCAGAAGGATCCTGAATACACTCCACCCAGTTTTGCCCTATGGTAACAGAATGCATTTCTATAGTATAATATCACAGCTAGAAAATTGACATTGGTAGAACCCTTTCATCATACCCTGAATTCACCAGTTTTAAGTTCCCTGTGCACCCAATTTTATTATATGTGTAAGTTCATATGACCACTCGACCACATTCAAGAAGCACAACAGTGCCAATAACCACAAGGATCCTCAGTGTTACTATATCACACCTATCTTCTCTCCCTCCCCTACTCCTTGGCAACCACTAAATTATTCTCTATATCAATAATTTTGTCATTTAAGAATGTTACATGGAATCATACAATGATCAACATCCTGAGAATGGCTTTTTCTTCCAATCCTCTGGAGACACATTCAAGTTTTTTCAGTATCTGCAGTTTGCTTCTTTTTATTATGAGTAGTATTTCTGGTATGATGTGTCACAATTTGCCCATTGAAGGGTTGATTCCAGATTTTGGCTTACAAATTAAACTGCTATGAGTATTTGTCTATAGTTTTTTGCACAAATATAAATTTTCATATCTCTGGCATAAAAAATGCCTAACTGTGCAGTATTTGGGTAGTGTAGTAAATGCATATTTAGTTTTATTATGACTGTTTTAGTTTTGTAGAGCAGCTGTGCTATCTTATATTCCATCAGCAAAGTATAAGAGGTCCAGTTTTTATGGGTTCCTGCCAGCATTTGTTATTATTTTTATATTAGTCATCACAGTAGGTATATATGCTATCTTATTGTGGATTTAATTTGCATTTTCCTGATACCTAATGATATTTACCATCTCTTATGTGTTTATTTGACATCTGAACATCTTTGCAAATGTTTTCTCCCAGTCTATAACTTGTCTTTTTATCTTCATTTATAACAAAAATTTTAAATTTTGCTGAACTCCAATTTAAAATTTTCTTTTATGTATCATGGTATGGTGTTAAGTCTAAAAACATTTTGCCTAGGGCCGGGGATTTAGCTCAGAGGTTCTGTGGCCTGCCTCACAAGCTCAAGGACCAGAGTTCGATCCCCGGTATCACAAAACAAAACAAAACAAAACAAAACAAAAAAAAACAAATAAAAAACATTTTGCCTAGCTCTAGGTCTCAAAACTTTTCTCCTATGTTTTTGCTCTAAAGCTATAATAGTTTAAAGCTTTGCATTACATCTATGAAGTATTTAGAATTCATTCTTACATAAAGCAAATAGTTTAGGTTGAAATTCATCTTTTGCCTATGGATGTCCATGTGTTCTAGTTTTATTTGTGGCAAAAGCTAACTTTCCTCCATTGAATTGTTTTTGTGTTGGTCTATTCCTGCTTTCTGCATTTATCTTGTTGATCTATGTTTCTATTTTATCACCAGTACCACAAAGTCTTTATTATTGCAGACATAAATTGGCCGTAAAATCAAGCATAATGCTTCCTTCCAAGATAGATTTAGATAACCTAGGTTGCATGCCTTTCCATATAAACTTTAGAATAAGCTTATCTATGTCCATAAAATATTTCCTCGGATTCATATAGGAATTGCATTCAATCCATAGGTCATGTCGGGTAGAACTGACAATTTTAATAGTTGAGTGCTCTGAATCATGAACACGGTATGTCTGTCCACTTATTTAGGTTTTCTTAGATTTCATTCATCAATGTTTTATAGTTTTCATCATCAAACTTATACACATTTTGTTAGACTTATGCTTAATATTTCATGTCATTGTGTTTTAAATTGAGTTTCCAAGTGTTCATTTCTAGTTTATATTAATGCAGTTGATTGTTGTATGATGATCTTCCTTAAATTGCATTGCAGAACTCATATTCATTATTTGTCTTTTTCCTTATGAGTTTATTGTTACATTTTAGGTATACAGTACAGTTACATTCGTCATTGGGATCTTGTACCTTTACATGACAGGTCTTGGTTCTCTTTTTTTCCCCTTGTCCCTGCCCTCCCTTCACCCCCCTCCTCCCCTCCCCATTTATAAACACTTCATTTCCATTTTTTCATTTTCTCATTTTTTTTCTTTTCCCTTATTAGCTTTCCCCTACCCTTCCCACTTTCACCAATTAGGATCTTGTACTATTATAGTTTATTCATATTCACTTTTTAAAATATGCACCCATATTTATAGCGGTATAGTTTGTAATAGCTAAATCTTGGAAACAGCCCATTTGCCCATCCGTTGGAAACTGGATAAAGAAGATGTGGTTTTTCTATAAAATGGAATATTACTCAGCCATAAAGAACGATAAAATAGATTCATTGATAGGAAAATGGATACATATTGAAGATATACTCCTAAGTGAAATAAATAAGTCACACATGTGTAAATACCGAATAGTTTCCCTGGTGTGAATAATCTGCAACAATGCATAAGATTCCAATAAGATTACTGACATTTAGAAATGGGAAGAAAGGAGCTAAAGGTGTAGGGAAGGTGGGATG